AGTAAGTGTAAGAATTTAAATGTGGGAGAGCCATGCTTCGGCACGAATGGGTCGGCTCGACTAGAGTGATACCACGGCCTCACAGAAAACCGGCGTAAAATAACCACTGCTTTGTGTTTCGCCGTGTGAGTGAGGTTACCGGAGGCCCAATCCTTCCCCTTCCCCAATCCCTCCTCAATCCCTAAATCTCCAAATCCCTAATCCCTAAAAGGTCGGCAACGCACTCGTAACTCCTTCTTTGTTGCGAGTGTCCATGGGCGGCGCTGATTGCTTACCATCAGGTAATCCGTCTGCTCGTTTGCCGACCTATTACATAAAAAAAAAAAAAAATCACAGCGATATGTTTCGCCGTGTGAGTGAGGTTACCGGAGACCCAATCCCTCTCAATAATTAATCCTCTAAATTAATCATTAAATTTATAGCTATTATTATTTTATTAACTACCTATTGACATTTTTAACAAAATTATTCTAAAAGTGTATGTGATGTATTTTGTCTACATTTTCATTATGATTAATTACTACTTTTCGTTAAATTATTTTATTAAATTAATCTTGTAAGCGTTTTGGGTGTAGGTACATCTGTAAGCATACACAATCATTTTTTATTAAATAAATATCATGACTGATGTTCAGCTGGGGTTGCGGGATAAGCACAATGAGGCACCGCGGCCTCGGCCCAGAGCAGGAGAAAGAACAGGGGGTCTTTTAGTCAGTAAGAGTCTGACACTCCCTCCCGCCCGACCCTGGACGGGAGAAGACATTCGATGACTTTCACCACAAAAAGAAACCTTCTTCTTACATTACCTTCTTTATACAGTGAAATAAAGCACAGGTATTTAAACAATTTTGTAGGTTTAGTAAAATATACAAAACATATTCTAGATTATGCTATTCAACCTTAGACCGAAGAACAACCCTTCACATACCAAAATAACTACCCAAAAATTCATAGATAAGTTACATAAATATCATAATGCAACATTTTATTTATAAAAAACCCTACTTATAGTGTATACACGGGACCATTTCCTAAGATATTTAAGAAAAGGTATCTTATAAGTACATTTGCTTCGATCCTACCTGTCCTTAACATGCTTTTGAATACTCTGCCAACGTCATACCCTTTGGCGCCTCAACCCTTGTCAAATGAATAAGTAATTATTGTAGCTACCTGAATTTGATATATTATATACATTACAGCACATCAACGTACACTATTCTTCATAGGAGTTTCGACTTTATAACTTATGTGTATACAGTCAAAAATTGGCTAAAGAAGTTTGGCTGTTGCGTATACGTTTATATGCGATAGCTTGTCTCTCTTTTTTTAGATATTTTTCCTACTTAGGGTCACTTTAAGTTGAATGAAATAAAAATGTGTCGTGATACTTAATTTCTTTTGGAAGTAGTCTCTTAAAAAAAAATTACAATTCGATTTCAATTCGTTCGGTACAATAAACTATTTTTGATATAATAATAATTGTAACAGCAAATATTGCCGCCAATAAACTTATTAAGTTTACCAATAAAAAAATGACGTAAATCGAAGGAATCGCTGACAGGCGCCGAATAGTTTTATGAACCATAAAGTTTGGTCAAATAAAGCCACGGTTGAGTGGTGTACCGGTCCATTTATGGCTTATAGGTTGTCATGGAATATTGGCGAAATGAACGCGTTACTGAGGTATTAGTGGAAAAACTATAAGAATTTACGAGGTCAAATTGTATCTGTATGATCCGGTTTAACCTCGAAAAATCATACAGTTTTGACAGAGTTTTCCACTTGTGCCACTGCCAAAATTCAAGTGATTTTGTCAGTGTAGTCAGTTTTCTTTTATTTTTTTTTAAGAAAAAGTGTTGACGCACGTTTGCGTTTTCTCGTGAGTCTCGGGTGAGTTTCATCATCAGCCTATAAGTGCCCACAGCTGGACAAAAGTCTCTTCTCACACGGAGAAGGTTAGAGCATTAATCACCACTCTTGCTCAGTGCGGGTTGGCGATTTCAAACTTATAATTAGAAATTATAAGTTCGAGTTTCCTCACGATGTTTACCTTCACCGTATGTCATTGGTGTCTAAAAAATCATAGAAAGTAAGTACATATAACTCGGAAAAAGTTCACATTGGTACTTGCAATGCATGAGAAGCGGGATCCCTAACCTCCAGGCCACCACGACATTACAATTTCACATACACATACACTCAGACCCGGGACATCAACTCGTGGATCACCCAGGACATTGATGGAGTTGTTCCGTGCGGGAATCGAACCTGCGACACATTGCGCGGTAACCTAAAGCCAAAAGTTTTTCTCCATATCTTGGCAAATACACTTTGTTAAAAGATAACAAATACACGCAACTTTTTGCGATTTAATTAAATTTAAACATGAAATTGGAGATTGCATTGTGCTAATCGTCAATTTACCATAAAAAAATAAATTATAATATATACCTACATAATATATACATACACCTACCATACTCTCTCTGCATCACCCTAAGGTTGACTGGTGAGAATGCCTACGGCATTAAGTCCGCCTATGTAATGTTTTGTTGCATAAAGTTTAAATAAATAAATAAATATATCGATCGTATATGTTGAAAATAATATCGGACTTGACCTTAATGACCTTTAGTATCGGATGATCCTTCGTTAGAGCGTAGGCAGTACTACAAGCCCACGCAATCCCGATTATTTCTATGTTTGTGAGATTTCTGAAAATCGATATCTGAAATCGGAGGATTGTTAGTCGTTCTATTCTGTTAGAGGTTCCGTACACACATATTATAAGGACGAAGATTTTGAATTCATCATTATTGTCAAAAACAGACCATTAATAAAGAAGTGAGAGATGTTATGTGCCCTTAGCTATATTATAAGCCTGATCAAAAGAGGTATTGTCAAAAAGATACATTACCTTCAGACTCCGAAATTTTTTCAATTCTCAACCTGCCTGCCAAATGAAGGCGAAAATCGGAGTGGTATCACGGCCTCACAGAAAACCGGCGTGAAACAAATGTTCAATTAATGGCGAATCTTATAATCTCCCAATCAAAGCTGTAAAAAGTGCTGATTGTAAGTCCGCCGATCAAAGTAAAATTATTACAAACCTGCGTTTTAGTAGGAAATTTTTTAGCAGCAGTTGATTTGAAAGTAATGGCGAATGAAATTTTAATTTCAGATCTTGTATTTATTGTATGTAGGTTTTTTACTAAATTGTTTAGAAATGTATTGACAAACTCATAATTATTTCTATGGTCATCTGTATCTATATATTTTTTTTTTATTTATTTATCACAAAATACAACTATTATTACAGGGCAACCTAATGCAATAGTGTATTGACAATTTTATAGGTATCTACTTAATCTAAACTACACACATATCGGTTAGGAAAATTATAATACTTAATAAAATAAATATAAAAAATAACATAAAAGTAAGTTCAAGTAGCGTACACGGCTCTTGTGAATTCATTCAGAGTACAGTTGAATATATCAATTTGTTCCGATTCCGACATGGCATTGAGCATTCGCAGATTAATGCCCGGTTTCCGAAAGCCCGATCAATGTTAAAATCAACTAACTAGGTGTCAAATCTCTTGTCAAGTCTTCTGATTGGTTGTTGATAATTCAGTCAACCAATCAGATGACTTGACAAGAGATTAAATTTATTTTAACATTGATCGGCCTTTCGGAAACTGGGTGTTAGTATCAATATCATAACTCTGTAGAATTCGGTTGTTTGCTTGAACGTGCTCCTTTCCGGAACAACAGCCAAAATTGTCATCATCTTATGAAATCAATGAATCGATCAAGTTTGAAAAGAGACTATCAGACTACCATATAATCGATATAAATTCTTAAGAGATACTACCGTACAAATGATCTCAAAAATCGATCTTATTCCAAAGATTTTCGAGTCAAAACACTTTAAAATAAAATTCTGAATTCACCACATAAATAATTTACATATATTTCTTAAAATCAGTCTAAAATTACATTTTTAAATATTACTATAAAATATTATTGTAAATATTTTAAATAATTTTAAAATAATATTGTAAAAGTTAATGGTTCCTACATACGAAACCAACAACGCACGGAGCCCTAAAACGTTATAAATTATAATGAGACCTTTTTCATATCTTTACGACTTACTTCTCTATTTGTAGGTGGGCTGACAAGTAGGCTGGGCAATTTTAATACACCCACGCAACACAAACTAAATCGATTAATTTCTAACGAATTTCTCAAACGTAGGCTGACAAAATAATACGATGATAACTCTTACCAAATTGAGTTTGAGACAAGTTCAAAAGTTGACTTCCATTAATTGGTTCAAAATTAATCTATTTATTTATTTTCTATTTCATTTATCTAATCTTAAGTTTTAAAGTAATTCGACTACGCGCTTCCTTGTATATTTTTTGTCATATTTTTTTTTATTTTTATTCAATTGATAACTCCAACAAATGATATACGGCACATGCTTTATTGAACAAAGTTCTTTAAAAATATTTTGAGCCTTCAGTTACACAAGAACATATTATGCATTAATTGCTATAGAAACACAATTTATAATAATATAGTCAGAGTAAACAAAATACATAGTATATCAAGATTTTAACTTTGTATGTCACTTAGGACTTATGTCATTTTTGGTCCACGAAATCTATAAACCAAGGAACTCAAAGGTCAAAGTCAAAGTCAAAGTCAAAATCAAAGTCACAGACAAAGTCAAAGTCAAAGACAACATGAAACGTGGTCTTTTGCGTCAAATAGCGCACTTATTTCTTGAAGAGAAGCAAGAAAAATACGGATATTAATTGTTTTATCGTAAAATCTATAAATTAATGCGATTAATATTAATATTTTATTACATGAATACAATCAGCGAAATTTGGGCCTTAATTTTAACGCACTTAAGTCTAATATTTCAAGAAACGAAAAACATTTTCTTCTACGCATTTAACCATTATAACTTGACCTCCGCAGGTGTACAATGCCCCGTGTGATGAAGTGTCTGGTGTACATCGGAGTGGCCGCCTTCCTTCACCAACTGCCCAGGTTCTTCGACCGTCGGTACGTGCCGCAGATCACAGTCTGGCGAGGACACTTCGAAGAAGTCTGCAGAGTAAGTATACCAGAGTTATAACATGGCTTTATAGAATACCGGCGTGAAACAACGCTTGCATTGTGTTCCTCCGTGTCAGTGAGATGACCAGAACCCTAATCCACCCCACGCCCTCAGATTGATAATTGAGATTAAGGATTTGGCGCGATCCCGATCCCCAGCTCTCAACCCTTGGGGGAACTTAGAAGCTCTCAGTTTCTAAGTTCCTAAATATTAATTCTTCTCTCCCTATCTCCAAATACTTGCTGTTGCAAACTGGGGCAAGGAGCCCCAGTTAAAACAATCCTTGCATGTCCCTTACGTCCCGTATGATATCCTGTCATATAATAAGGACATTGAAACATATGAAAATACCTTTTACGAAACTTCCAAATGGTATAATCATTTTCCACAAGTTTCGAGCTAAAGATGACTTATTTAGATATGAGTTAAAATAATGTGGTTTTAAAATAATATAATTAATTAATTTTTCTTTCATCTTTTTCAGATCGAAATGGCTCCCTGGGTGCAAGCGATATCTCTGGACGCTTACTTCATAACATACTACGGTTTCCGAGTCCTCTTCGTGCATCTCATACCTTGCACCTCCCTGGTGGTCCTCAACGTCCTCCTCTTCAGAGCCATGAGGACCGCCCAGATAAACAGGCAAAGACTCTTTAAGGAAAACAGAAAATCCGAGTGCAGAAAACTTAGAGACTCCAATTGCACAACTTTGATGCTTATTGTCGTTGTAACAGTCTTCCTTTTAGTTGAAATTCCCGTGGCAGTGGTTACTATACTACACATAATTTCAAGCACTATAGTTGAAATTCTAGATTACTATATTGCTAACATTTTGATCCTTATAACAAATTTCTTTATATTAGTGTCTTATCCAATTAATTTTGCTATTTACTGCGGTATGTCTAGACAGTTTAGGGAGACTTTTAAGGAATTGTTCATTCGTGGAGCAGTGACGAGCCGTAAAAATGGCGGCTCCAGCAGATACTCCTTGGTAAATGGCCCCAGGACATGCACTAACGAAACCGTGCTTTAAATTGCAGTATTTTTGTAAATATTCTTATGATAGAGTAAGATTTTTTGATTATTTTTCAACTGTCTTTATACATATGTATCTTTATTCCTAGGAACATATCAATGGACAATTTATTTTCCGAAAGTAAAATATTTCGAACGATTTACCTTCTTACTTGTTGTATATGTAAAAGAGTATTTTTGATTTCTTCTCTTTTTTTAATTTGTATACAAGTCTAGGATACATAAACGCATAATTTAGCTATAAATAAGTGTATACAAAAAGCGACGATTTTCTACTAAATGTAAAACATTTGTATAAAACCGACGTTTCTAATATTAATGTTTATACAAATTTAGAAATTGTGTATTAAAATGTAGATTTAGAAATGTATCATTTGCATTTACATTTTGCTTATTACATTATAAATATATTAATGTATAATTTCTGGGTACTTTTACGTGGCTGTGAGGTTACCTGATCATAAAATAAAATAAAAAAATAATTAAATTTGTTAAATGGTAAATAAATATTGTAAAAGTTGATTAGCTGATCTCACAGCCTTCAAATGGCGAGCCCCCATTTCGGAAAAGTATCAATATAACATAAAATACAATTATATATATACATTTTGTAAATATAATAAAACTAAAAAAATAAAAATTTATAAAAACAATAATTTTATTAAGTTCTGAATGTGCTTTTATTAAATTTACAATTTAATTTTACGATGAAAATGAACGATTTATGAGATTATGTATTTGTAAAATTTATATAATATAAATAAATTAATTATTGTTTAAATTATTAATAAAAAAGTAGATACCTAAATGTGTAAAAATGTGTAAGTATTTATTTATAATAATATATAATAAGATGGTACTAAATGTTTATGTTGTATAAACTATGTTATCAATGTTTGTATTGCTTCCTTATTTAAAAATCGTAGACATATTTAAAATTAGAATTTAGGACAAATAGAGCTTAACGTTAGAACAAGACGTGGAGACAAAAATCATTGAATAATCGCGCCACAGTTGCGCCACATTCGTCTTGACACTAACGTTTAATTAGATAAAATCCTAAAATAAACTTTACAGCGACAGTAATAGGACCTAATTTAAAATGTAAAACAATTTTGTAAATTGATTCGGACCATGGCGGATTGAACATTATATTAGGTGCGTATTTAATAAATAAATAAATTGTATAATATGTTGCGTTTCATTTTGTTTCTTTCCCATCCAATCAATACGAGATATTTTGAGTTACATAATCGTGAAAAATTGTTTAGAGCCGAAGTGGTATCACTCCGGTCAAGCCGGCCGACATTTTTCATGGTTTTCACTATTTTCTCATAGTTGAAGATTGATACGAATAATGAAGAATTGAGAAATAGTCGAAATACCCAAAAAACTCAATATTATTTTGCCTGACCTCGCAACCGAACTCGAGAACCATAGGATCATTGATTTATTTCTGAAAGTTACCAATACCAATTTAATAGATTCTCAAAGAATCGATTTAATTTCAATTGAATCGATTTAATTTCAATTTAATCGATTAATCGATTCTCAAAGAATCGATTTCATTTCAATTTAATCAATTCTCAAAGATTTGCCAAAGCCAAGTTTTAAAAAGAATATCTGTTTAACACATCAGACATTCTGAATGGCAGCTATGTACAAAATAAATTTGGATTTGGAACGCATTTGAAAATGCCGGCTTCGTCTATATTCAATTATTTTTTAAAGCCTACACACGACAGAAAATAATTCGTTGTTTTACTGTTTCATAAGTTTATCGGGAACTAATCGGGAGGAAACGCCCGAGTGTCGTCATTGTGAGGACCACCTAGAGGATACGGTGGAGCATACGGTAGCGGTATGCCCTGCCTGGGCTGAGCACCGCCGTATCCTCAGGGAAGTGATCGGCGGCGGCGAACTCTCGCGCCCGGCCTTAGTCGAGGCCATGGTGCGGAGTGAGAGGAACTGGGACGCCGTCTCCTCCTTTTGTGAAGCAGTCATGCTCGCAAAGAGAGAGGCGGCCCGCGTGAGGGAGCAATCCTCCTCCTCACGCCCCAGCAGCCGCAACTGGCGACACTACGGGCGTCGGGGATCGAGGGACGATCTCCGGCCACCGTAAGTACGGGCCTGCGGTCGGCGAGTAAGGGCAGCTCGCCGCCCGACCAGAACCAGGCCCGAGCGTACGGCGCGTAGCGTTCCGCGCGCGCCTCAAAGAGCCAATAGACCACCACAGACGGGGCCCTAAAGGGCTGATGTTCAGCCGGGGTTGCGGGGTAAGCGCAATGAGGTACCGCGACCTCGGCACAGAGCAGGATAAGGAACAGGGGGGTTTTTAGTCAGTAAGAGTCTGACACTCCCTCCTGCCCGGCCCTGGGCGGGAGAAGTCATTTGATGATTTTCCCCTCAAAAAAAAAAAAAAAAAAAATCGGGAACTAATACGAAGGTTTTAGGTCATAACCTAAAATAAATGCTTTTTCTTTCTTCCTTTCTATATAAGTTCCCGATACAAGAGCCCTTACCGGCTTTTTTATGTGATAGGGTGGCAAACAGGGTTTACCTGATAACCTGACGGTAGGCAATCGGCTCCGCCCATAGACACCGGTCACACCAGAGGAGTTACGAGTGTATTGCCGATCTTTTGAGGATAAGGGTTTCAAAGATTTTGGGATTGAGGAGCGATGGAGGGAGGGGTTGTTTCACGCAGGTTTTCTGTGAGGCCGTGGCTCAATCCGGTCAAGCTGATCCATTCGTGCCAAAGCATGACTTTCTAACACTTAAGACTTTAACACTGACTTCTTTTATGAGTCATTTTTAACAATTAATTATAATTAATCTGTAAAACATTTACCTAAGTACAAAAAAATGTTATCTAACATCACAATTTTATATAATTTTGAATTTTATAACACTACACAACAAGGTTGAATATCCATTACTTAGGCGTCAGAAGTTCAAATGTTTCAAATGTTAATACTGGCTAATGAAACAATTGAATTTTCGTTTTACTTTCAAAAATTTGTAACATCACTCACGTAGCTATTTCGAATAATTTACTTCTTGAAGTTGGTGTAGACGAGAAACTTTTGGCCACACCTGTAGCCCTAGTAGGTGAGAAAGAGGGATGAAGCTATACCCTTTTATAGCTCCATCCCTTTTTCTCGCTCGAAATATTGACGCTTTAACACGCCATGGTAGGCACTCTGGTATTGGTATTATTGGGATTAGACAATATTTCAATAACACTAGTTACTACAATAGCATAATATTTTAATATTCAACTAAAACTGGCATCACTTTCGGCACGGGAAGAAGACAACAGCGCCACTAGCGGCAAAAAAACTTAACTTATACTTGAACGTTTACAAAGACAGTTCGTGACAGAATGTTTACGAAGACACTTACTTATTTACTGGGTTTTTATACTTTATAAGTTCATTTATCCAATAGGTACCTATATTTGGCATACTTTTTTATATATTATATAACGTTGCCCCACACTAGGGCTTTCTCTTGTCGTCAGTGCGTTTACAAAAATATAATTTCACATACACATCATATCCAGACCCGGAACAACAATTTGTGGATCACGCAAAGGATGGTTCCTTGTGGGAATCGAACCCTCGGCACATTGTGCGACAGCCAGTTGCCCAGCCACCGCACTTCTTTCCCGCATAGAACAACTCTTTGTGTGATCCACAAATTGTTGTTCTGTGTCTGGGTGTGATGTGTATGTGAAATTGTATGTTTGTAACCGCACCCACGACACAGGAGAAATTCCTAGTGTGTGGCAATGTTTTTAAAAAAGAAAAGAAAAAAGAAAAGATATACCAGATGTAAATGCCAGCCTGCGTTGACCCCTTTTTAAGGTTAAAGTATAAAAGACAATTTTCTTATTTCTGTAACTATTAATAAATATAAAAATCATTGCTTCACTTATGTTCCATTGCAAATCCAGTATAGACCAGGATTTTTCTGGGCAAAGAATGTACTTACCAAAATACAAATTAACTCTAGCGACCGAAACACAGGGTTACTTTTGGTCTCAATACATCGACAATACATTGTAATATACATAACTATGGATGGAACTCCTCTTCATAAGAGGAGAATATTTTATATTAAATCGGCAAATTAGAAACCGGAAAAATAGGGGAATTTGAAAACTGTTTTGTACTCTCCTGTTGGCCCTTCTGTATAGATTACTTACAAACTGTGTAATCAGTACATAGTATAAAAAGAAAGTCGTTTTCTTTGTCCCTATACAAGTATCTCTAAGTATATTTAAATCTTTAAAACTACGCAACGGATTTTGATTCGGTTTTTTCAATAGATGGAGTGATTGAAGAGAAAAGTTTATATGTATAATAACATCCTTCAAAAGTGGAGAAATTTAGCATCAGCATTATACCTTGCAAAGCCGGGGTTCGTCGCTAGTTACATTACAAAATACAAAAATACTATACTACCCCTAGAATCCCTAGATGGAGTTGAATCTGCACGGTTGGTGCAGTAGCTGGGCAATTGGCTGTTGTACAACGTGTCGCGGCCTCGATTCTCACACGAAACAACACTTTTTGTGATCTACAACTCTACACAACAACAACACTTGATGTTTGGGGTCAGGATGAATTGTATATGTGAATTTGTATGTTTGTAAACGCACCACAACATATAGGAGAAAATCCTAGTGTAGGGCAACGTTATTAAAATAAGAAAAAGAAAAGAGAATGGAATAAAATAATAACTATCGTGAGACATACTAAATTAACCAAAAGTCACGGGTTATTCACGTGAACATAAGTACTTAGGAAAGCTCTACTAGTTACTAGTAGGCTGCGCGACATCGCCGCGTCCGCGCACGCTGCTCGAAGAACCCCTCTGGGGTTCGAAACTAGTAGAGCTTTTCTCAAAAACAAACGTGAGTAATCCGCGATTTTTATTTAATTTAATGTAACATAAGTTGCTCGTCTACTCAGACCCTTAATTGACACGTCAGAAGTGAGCGCGAAACAAGTTGATTCGAAAACTTAGTTTGAAATGTTAAATGGGTCTACCGTCTATATACAACGACTAAATAGATGTAATGTCTGTTGGTCAGTCTGTTTTCCTCGTTGAAAATAATGTAGCATATTAACACT